CTTTACGGGAGTAGAAAGCCTCATCTTTCTCCCGCGGAGCAGCTGGTAGTTTCGAACTGCTGACCTTAAGGTTTGCAGCCCATTTCGTAACCACTACGCTACCAGAGCTCCCCTAGAGTACCAGAAAGATGTTTTCCTGTGCTTTATTGACAAGCTATAAGACAATATTGCAGAGAATGAGTATTCTAGAACACAACTGTGCTCTTAAGGAACCTGTACATAGTCCTTATTTGATCAGAACAAGGGAAAAGTAAATGGTTTAAAATTTGAAAAGGTTGTTTCTCTCACCATACTTACTAGATCTGTATGTTGAGCAAATAATTCGAGAAGCTGGAAAAGAGGAAGACCCCCCCACAAGATGAACTGGTACCATGGCAGCAGCAATCGGCTCAAGCGTAGCAACTATTGTGAAACTGATGCAGGACCAGGCAGTGTCTTGTTCCTTTGTGCATTAGGTCGTTATGAGTGGGTACCGACTTGATGTCAGCTAGCAACAGCAACATTTAATGCCAGCTGAATGAAAGGGTGCGGGGGGTAGTATGGGCTATGTGAAGGCAGAGCCCTGGACAAGAAAGGTGAAGGGGTGAGCTTTAATACCCTCTGTCAAGAGATCAAAGTGATCCTGGGTAGTACAAGCGGTATGTGCTCAGCTGCTCTTAAAGGTTGGCAGTTCAAACCTACCCAACAGCACCACAGAAGTGGACTACAACCCCAATAACTCAATGGAGCAGGTCTGCTCTGTAACACATGAGGTTACCGTGAGTCAGAATCGACTAGATGGCAATGGTGGTTTTTGTTTGTTTTGTTTATCAGGAGAGCACATCATCCTTACAGCATCCCCAGGAGATAGATGACTTGATTTGGGGTGACAAGACAAGGAAACAGGCTGGAAAGGAAAACTCCTTGGCCAAACTCCCGGCTAAGGGAGTTGGGGAGCAGGGCTCTGAGGCTCATCTGCCTTGGAAGCTCTTCCCATCCACCAAGGGGACACACATCACAAAGTCCTGAGGAGAAGACATGAAGGGTTTCTAGAAGCTTCCTCCCTCTTGAGAAAATATCTTCAAATAGACACCTAAAAGTTCACCAGAGGCAGGTTACTACTCTTTGATTGCAGAAGAAAGGTGTTCAAACTGAAAGGTGTTTCAATTCGTTTCAGCAAACTGCCTAGCTGAGAACGCTGTACTATGTATGGTAGGGAATCTATGAGATTAGTTTATTTCATATACTGTTGTTAAGTGACATCGATTCAGTTCTGACTCATAGCGCTATTATATAAGATTTCCGAGGAGTGGCTGGTGAATTTGAACCCTTGGTCTTGAGGTCCAGTGCTTATCCTACAGCGCTACATTATATACGGGGAGAAAACAAATCCCATCCTACCCTTAGGTCTGCTAGTACAAGATGTCCAGCAGTGGCCAAAGTGTCCCAGTAAAGTGCGTCCTGGGGGCCACCAAGTGATCAAAGGCTTGCGAGGGACGGGGGTCATCCCTCCAACTAGGCCTGCGGGACTTGGCAGAGCATGACCAATGGACCGAACCTCAGCTGAGGCTGGGATGGAGGAAGCTGCCAGTGAGGGAGATGGCTGCAGTGGCCAGGGAGGCTGAGCCTGATCCAACCAAGAATCCTTAGCTTCCCCTCACCGGATTCCCCTCGGGCCTCCCTGCACCTGATATCCGGCCATTTGAAAAGAGAAGGAGGGTTGGTGTAGGGGTGTGTGCACCAATGGCTAAGGCGCTGGGGGCGGGGGTCTTTCAGCATAATTAGAAGTCCTCCATACTTCCCCAGCCAGAGTTGGCCTCATGCTTGGTGCTCCGGCTCGGCGCCTAGCGGCCATCACCGCTTAGTATTTGGGCGACGGGCGTCCACCGTTCTCGCAGCCCAACGGCCTGCGCGCTCCGGCGGCACCCGCGTGCCTTCCGCACGAAGACGGCGGCCAGCGGAACCAGGAATGGTTCAGCCAGGCCTTTGGGCTCCGAGGAATCTGGGGCCCAGCCCGGTTCAACAAGTGTGGGCCGGCCGCCCGTCCCGCCCGGCGGCTTCGCGCCTCCCCTGGCGCCCCGGGCGCGCCAGGCGGCCGGTCGGACAAGTTTCATTTCATCACCCGTGCGAGCGCCGGTGCAAATAACGTTGCCCCCTCCCTCCCTGCTCCTCCCGAAACTCCCGTTTGCCAACGCCTGCACGCCGGCTAGGAGAGCCAGAGAGGCTGGGTACTGGGTGCCCTGCGCGCCCGCCCACGCCCGTCGCCCGCCGCCCCGCCCGGGCCGCGAGGCCACCTCACCGGCAGCGGAATGGAAACCGGTTCGACAGGTAGCAAATAGGTGGGTTGTCGCCGTTATTTCCCAACGCATGCGCCGTCGCTCCCCGGGCCACTCCAAGCTAATTAGTTCAACTCACCCCCTCCCGCCCCAGCCACCAACACACACCGCCGCGAGCCAATAAAGCGTGAACCCGTCCGTCCGGATCGCACTTCAAGACTTCCCGAGCGGCCGCGGGGGACGCCAGTGGAGCCGCAGACGCTTACCTGCCGCTTGCCCGCTGCCCAGCGCACCTGGCTTCAAGGGATCTCTCTGGGAGGAAGGACGGCGACATCGTCGCAGAGTTGGTCGCGGGCGCCCGACCTCCTGGACACCGTCTCTTCGCGGAAGGTGGGGACGCTTTTGACGACTGCTCTCCTGATTGCCCCCCGCCTGCAGCCAGCCCGGGAAAGGAGGGACAGCCCCGGCTCTAGTTACGAAAGCGGACGGTGCCGGCAAGCAGAGTTCGAAGATGCCCCGCGCGTTCCTAGTAAAGAAGCCGTGCGTCTCCACGTGCAAGAGGAACTGGAGCGAGCTCCCGGATGAGGAGCGCGGCGAGATCTACGTGCCAGGTGGGCGCTCCGCGGCCCGAGCCCCGGTCCGCGGCACCCGGGACTGAAGGGTGACCCAGGGACGGCGGGCGCCGGATTGAATGGCGAAGAGCCCGGGCCCCGTTAGCCGGCGGTGCGGGCGACCCGGGGCGGCGGGGGAGGGGAGGGCGGAAGGCGGCGCCGCGGGGGCGGGGCGGGGGTCTAGGTGGGGGACGCTAGCCGTTCCCAGGACTGGGGGGGGTGGGGGCCGGAGACCAGAGCCGTGGTGCCGGGGAGGCAGCGGGGTGTGTCACCGCTCAGGGGACCCTCCATTCTTGCGTCGTAAATCCAGAGACCTGGGACTTTGATGAGGCGGGCGGAGAGCACTGAAGCGATGCCACTTGGGGGGCAGGGAGCGAACATGAAGTTTTGGTGGAGGTTTGTGCTACTTGGAAGAGAAGATTCGGACTTTCTGCCCCTTTCAGGGCTCTGGCCCCTCCCCCACAGCCCTGGTGGCCTGGAGACCTGGTTGGGGCTGCTAAGGGGTCGCTCCAGCGCAGGGTTCCCGGAGTTTACCCCGGACTCCCGCCAGTGGCCTGCGGGGTTCACAGTGAAGGTGCAAGTTGCGCGCCGCCTACCCTCTAGACAAAGGTGGGGTCAAGTCTCTCCTCTTTAGGACCGCTCTTCCTTCAGCCCCGCGGAGGGCACAGCTGAGAGAAGTGATTTGAGGGAGCCTACCCCCTCCCCCACCGGGGGACCCAGCCTAGGTGAAGGGTGAAGGCAATTTGTTTTCGAGACGCCTAGACGGCGTCCGTCTGAATGAGTAACTCGAAGTGTTTACTCCCCCAGGGGCTTCGCCCTTGGAAGCCCTGAGAATACGTCCGCATACCATGCACCCCAACAAACCGTGGGATCCGGAGAAAGCCCTGTTTCCTTCCTAACCTCCCCTCCCGGGGCTGGGTGGGGGATGCGCTGAACCTCGGCCAGCGCCTCCCAGGGGGGAGAGGTGGTAATTAACCAACCGACTTTGACCCTTGATCTGCCAGGCTCCCTGGCACCGCCCCAGATCTTGTAGGAGAGTGGAGACTTACGGGTGATGAGGTGCCCTACAAGCGTTCTTGCCTCAGTTTCCCCATGAGGAAATAGTTGGGGGCAGGAGTGTAGTGGGGGAGGTCCCCACCACTACCACCCTCGCCCCCTGCAGGACCCAAAGACTGTGTGTGTTTGACTTCTAAATCCTATCTCAAGTTCCTGGGCCCCTCTTCTACATCCTCCTTAGAACAAGGGAGCATGCTGTAAATTGTGATCCCACTTGGGAAACTGAGACAAAAAAAAGATGTCCCTGGAGGTGGACTTGGAGTGGGCCCAGGACTCTAGTTTCTTGCTTGGCGGGCCCTGGAGGGCTGTGTGGTAGCTGTATGAGCCCATTTACTTTCCTTGCCCACCTCCGCCCTCACCCATGCTCAATTTGCTGCCTAGCTACTCCTTGGGATCTGATCATCTGAACTTGGATTGTGTGAAAGGTGAGCTGCCTTGCTCTAGACTTGGTCGCGTGTTATTTTTAGTTTATTTCACATCCCAATCAGTAACAGATCATGTGTTGACTTTTACAAAGGACAAAGAATTCCGTTTGTTCAAATCATTGACTTCCCTGAGTTCACTAGAACTTCATTTCCCTGCTCCGATCCTGGTGGCTGGGGACTCTGCCCAGGGTCTTGTGGTTGTGGTGGGTCCGAGCGCCCTGCTTCTGCTCCTTCTGCGGCCGGATGAACTGAGGTGGCAAGCCTGCCAGGCTAAGTATTGGGGTCTAAATCTCTGCTTTATCCTTTTGTGATGCTGAATCAAGTAGAGGGTAGAAGTTAATGTATCTAACTGTACTTCTGAAAGCCATGAGTCCTAGAGAGAACTTTCCCACTGTTTGTAGAAATAAGTAAGGGAACGTTCTCCATGTACGCTTGGGTGCCTCAGAGACTTGGAGGGGGGATGTTTTGTGGTGGCCTGTCCCTTGCCTGGGCCATTCCATCACCAGCCAACCATGACCCCAGGAGCCGCCCGGCACGTTTCCTTCACCCCACTTCACAGAGTCTCGGCACGTTGTGACCAGTAAGCACTGACCTATTCCCCCCGGGAGAAGCACTGGGAACATGGCAGTGTTTGTTCTGACCTTCCCGCCAGGCCCTCTGGGACCCTCAAAGCATCACTGAGACCAGGCAGGAGAAGGTGTAGGGACTGAAATGCTAGGCCCCAGCCTGGCAGCTCAGGCTCCAGGGCCCAGGGTCCCAATCACACCAGCCTTTCCTGAGGCAGGGGCCACAGTTGACCTCCTCAGCCTTAGCTGAGGGAAAAGCCTAGACGTGAGTCTAAAGGGATGGAAGGCAGGCAAGAATGGGGCAATGGCCCCCCCGGCCCTGGAGGACTGACAAGGGAATGGGGCCTTTGAGGGGGTCACAGCCCTCTACCGGGGCCTCCCCTGCCCTGTGTGGCTTTTCCCCTTTGCTGGGTCAATATTGAGTGAGGAGTAACAGAGTAGTTAGTGCTGATTTCTTGACAATGAACCCAGCACCTGTACCTAGGGGTAAACTCCACCTCTTGAACTGGTGGCTGAAATAACAGGGCGGCAGCCTGCTTCTCCAAGCTCCTGGAAGCAGGAATGAAAGGCTCTGGTGTTAACAGTTCATCAGCCCCGAGGAGGGGGACAGGCTCAGCTGCGAGGTAGTGTGGGAGCATCGGCCGCTGTCTTTCCAGGCTGAAACTTAGAACATCCCCTTGGACCCCAGAGATCTAGTGCAGGCACATGAGGCTAGCAGGAGCGAGTCAGCCTCAGGTGATGGTTCTCAGCACTCTGGGAGGAGTTCGCTCTGGGTCAGTACACAAGCACCATGGGCTTGGGCTAGCTGGGCCGACCTGTCCCATGTGGGGGCCGTTGTTCAAGCTGCCCATCTGATCAGTTGTCTGTGCCTAGGAGCAGAAGGCTGCCAGCTGTTTGTCTCAGAAAGAGCAGGGGAGGGCAGCATCGAAGCCTGGACATGTTAAAGTCAGGGTCGTCCCCCCCCAGTGCATATTGCTCATTGGTGTGGGCGGAACAAGGGGTCTGTGTGGACTGAGTGGGGCATCCCCCAGGCATGCCCAGTCCTGTGTTTGTGGGGGGTGTGAAGTGGAAGGAAGCCCAGTTCTAACTGGCTGAGGGCTGAGACACCCGGTTTCACCTTCATACAGTCACAGAAATGAAAACCTGCAGGGAGACGGGGGGGATGGGGGGGGGGGGGAGAGAAGGGGGGGGGGGGGGGGGGGGTAAAGGTATTGCCCCAGAGGAAAACTGTGTTGGCAGTTTGCAGGATGGACACAAAAGGCCAACAGATAGGCCCATTGTGTTGCCAGGGTGACCACCTGGGCCCACTGGCCAGAGCCGGTGTCCCTGTGGATGACTGCTAACTGGCTTTTGGGACTAGAGGAAAAGGGCCCAGGGGACCCTGCCCCTCCTGATAAAGTCTGCCTGAAGCCCACCTGGCTCCCACCTATCTCCCGTGTGCTGGGTCTCCTGCCCAGTCTGGTCCCAGGCCATAGATGGGGTAGGACCTGGCATTGTGTCCCAAATTTAGGTCAATAGCTGTCACTTCAAGAAAGAGGGGACTTGCTGAGGAGACGGCAGGGGAACACCACCCATGAGGTCTGATCGTGCCCTCTACATGGTCCAGGTTGGGTAACAAGAGGGGGCCCACAAGACCCCTGAGGGAGCAGGGAGGAGGCCCGCAGGTTCGGCTTTGCCACACTCCACAGCTGTGGGCGAGCAATGAGTAGCCCCAGCGGCAGCCACCGCCTTGCCGGAAACATCTAATTAGGGGACGAAGCAACAAGCAAGGGCCCAACCAGTTCTGTTTCCTGGCGCCTGCCACTTGGTGACACTCAGTGACAGTAGCAGCACGCCATGAGCATTCCCTGTGCGTGCGACGGCAGCAGGACACACTCGCGGGGGTGGTGGGAAGACAGGTTTGGCAGGGGTAGCAGGAGGCAAACAGCCCCACCCTGGACACCAGGGAGCTGCCATCCAGCCCCACCTGCCCCTCACCCAGGGTAGAGGAGGCACCGAGAACAAGCCAGGCTGCTCACTCCTTGTCCCCAGTTTCTCAGCGCCTCCGCAGGATCGTGTGGACAGGTCCTCCCAAAGTAGTTTGGATCCTTAGTACCCCAACACAAGTCTCTCCTTCAGTGGGGGCACGGGAGCCGAAAGTGACAATGCATTCTCATGGCAGTCCGCTCTGGGAAACCCTAGACATGGTCACTATGAGTGTGAACTGACTTGATGGCATACAACAACCACCACCTAAAGAAGCCTGGTGGCATAGGGAGTTAATTGTTGGGCTACAAACAGCAAGATCAGCAGTTCAAACCCACCAGCTGCTCTGTAGGAGAAAAATGAGGCTGTCTGCTCCTGTAAAAATTTAGTCTTGATGGTAACCCTAAGGAGCAGCTGGCTATAAGTTGGAATCTACTCAATGCCAGTGGGTTTTTGTTGTTGTTGTTTTAAACCCTCACCTAAGCAGCTCCAGTGGTTTAATGGTTAAGTGCTCAGCCACTAACCAAACGGCCAGTGGTTCCAACCCACTAGCTGTTACAAGGGAGAAAGATACACCCATTTGCTTCCATAAAGATGGCAGCTTTGGAAACGCTCTGGGGCAGTTCTACTCTGCGTAAAGTATTAGTATGAGTTAGAACCAACTCAGTGGTACACAACAACCCTCACCTGCTGTCCCCTGCCCCCTGTACTGCTGTCCCCCTGGGCAGAGTGGGATGGTGGGGTCCAATGCTGAGAGACCAGGATTTGTTGGTTTCTCCCTAAACCGAGAAGCACACTGTCATTCAGTTTTGAGTTCTCAGCTGGCATCTCCAGTCACTGGTACAGCGACATCAGAAGCTGCCAACCCCAGACCCCCTTCCCAGTCTTATGCAGACAGACAGACACCTTTCACAACATGTATCCTGATGACACGGTCCCTGCGAGCCCAGGCTGAGGGCCCAGCGCTAGTGAATCAACACACCTGCCAGGAATGAGGTGGCTCATTGAAGTCCCCCAGACAGATGGACGCCAGGGCCCGCAGAACGGGTTCTGGATGGTGGGCATGCCCATTCTCCTCTCAGATGTTTGTTGTGTTTTGAGCGAGTGAGAACTGGGGCCTCTCCGGAAAATGTCAGTTCTTTCACATCTACCCTTCTTCTACGATTATCCCGCTTTCCCCTGTGTCACCACTGCCCCTCCACCCTTGTCCCGTGGCCACCAGCCCATCCTGGGTCCTCAGCTCCTTCCTTGTCTCAGCACCTGCGGAAGAGCAAGGTACAGGGGGCCTGCTTTAGAATCCTAAATCCACCTCTTGCGTTCCTTGCCCTGCTGCTGCCCAGCCTCTTTCCTAGGCCCTTCTGGAATTTTCCTTCTGCGACTTGCAAAGTCCCCCTTGTTTACAGACTTTATTTAGAGAACTGAGACTTTGGTGGGGGGGGAAGATGAATACTAACTAAACTGACACACTGGCTTCTTTGCCCTGGCCTGACGGGATTTGCAACTTGTCTCCTGCATCAGTCCTTCCAAAGGACTGTCTTCTGGTTCTTTCTAGGCAGCCCCGTTTAGTGCAAGGTGTCACCGGGGAGCGGCCGCCTCAAAGGGCTGCCAGGTATCGGTGCCGCCGCTGCCGGAGGGTGCCCAGCCTCCCTCTGCCCAGTGAGCGGTCCCTGCTGAGGGGGTGGATTGTGCAACCATTAGGCAGGCCGCCCAGGAGACTGTTACGCCGCCGCATCCACCTGCTGCTCTCCAACCTCCTCCTTGTCCTGCCCCACCCGCTTGCTCACCTGTAGAGCCGGAATGGGAGCCAGGCACCCTGGTGGGCACACCCAGAGAAGGAAGTGGGCAAGGACCACTTGAGTCTCCCCCTCCTCACCTACCCCCACCTGTAGGCGAGGACCACTCAGGCCACGCTGAGTCTCAAAGTGCTGTCCTAGGCCCCAGTACCTCCTGGGCCATCCTCTGCCCCCGCAGAGCATGAACCTGGAATCCAGAGGGACTGGCCCAGGTGGGGCAGCAGACGGCCTGGGAGGATAATTGGCAGGGCAGGTTCGGTCCTCCCAGTTCCGCTAAGACACAAATTACTCAGAGGGTAGGCCTGTGGGCTGTGGCGCTTGGCTGGCGTCACCAGTAATTACCTTAATGGGTCGGGAGGGTTGGGGGCAGCCCTGCTCTGCCACATGCCTGGAAGGGGAGGGCCAGAGGCTCCAGGTTCCCGGCCAGCTCAGGGCCAGGGAACCTTCGCAAGCCCCCCTGGGCCCCATTTTCCCAATCAAGCCCCTCATGTGGCTCTTTTTCTTTCTTTAGTCAGCCTGGGTTTCTACCCGCCACAGCCTTACCGGGAGCCGGAGCCATCCGTGGCCGAACCCCCCTCTTGCCCCCTGGCTTTGGACATGAGTCTTCGGGACCCCAGCTACAGTATAGCCCCTGCACCATGCGTGGTGGCCCAGCTGCCCTCTGAAGACATGGCTCGCCACGCAGATGCTCAGGCCAGAGACCATGGCTTTCTGCGCACCAAGATGAAGGTACCGGCTCTTCGTGTCCCACTGAGGACAGATGGATAGGGCAATGGGGCAGGGCACAAGGCAGCCCTCGGGAGAGCTGGGTCTGGATCTGGGCTTGGGACTGCAGAGAATGAACGTCGCTGGAGCCCCGTGTGCGTGGGAAGAGGAAGTGTGGGCCTATGTGCACGTGCCAGGCTCTGGGGAGAAGCAACGGGGTTCCAAACAAATGAACCGTGGAGTTCATGGCCCAGGGGGCAGGAGTGGGAGACAGTTAAGGTTCCCCATGGTCTGTACCAGCCATCAGCCTTCATCCAGGTCTGCCTTCCCAACCTCTATGTCAGCCTTCACTACAGTGAGGCTAGACACGGGCCGGAGTGCCTCTGCTTTCGAGAAGGCCAGGCAGCTAGCGGGCCTGCATTCCTGGAATCTCCGGGTCTGCTAGCATCTGCCAGCAGCCATCAGTGCACGGGTTCTCCCAGCACTGTCTGCATGCCAACTGACAGAACTGGCCGTGAGAGCTGCTCCTTCCACCAACCTGTGGAGGCCACATGTGTGATCTATCTGGAGGAAGCCAGCACTGGGCTCTCGGGACATCACAGAGTCTCTTATCTGTCCACAAGGGTAGGGAGGATAGGACACCCTACCAGAGGACAGGGCCCTGACCCAAGAGCTCTGAATGAGCTGTGACCAGGGGAATTTCCCTGGGAGGGAGGGGAAGGCGGCAAGACTTGTCTCCAGGAGTCCAGGAAGAGGGGGAGGGTGATGCCAGTGACAGGGCTGCCCATGAGCACCAGCATCCCCCAGAATGCTCACAGGTGGGATGGACAGCCACTTCACCTGTACTGGCAAGCATACCTGGAGAGGCGCTCAAGTGCCAAGCAGGCCTTCAGAGATGGACAGGTGCCCAGGATGTGCTTCCCAGCAATCCCAGGCGATGAAGGAGAAGTGGACCTGATGGTGACAAGATGTGGGGCACGTAACATGGTGGTGTCTCTACTTTTGCATACATTTAAAATCATCCATTAATATGTGGCACTGTAGGATCAGCACTGTACGGCCACTGGTAAGGGCAGCGGCTCAAACCCACCAGCTGCTCCTCGGAAACCCTATACAGGGTCGCTATAAATTGGAACCAACTTGGTGGCACTTAACAACAACATAGCCCTGGTAGCGTAGTGGTTATGAATTGGGCTGCTAATCTCAAGGTCAGCAGTTCAAAACTACCAGCTGTTCCGCAGGAGAAATATGAGGCTTTCTGCTCCCGTAAAGATTTGCAGCCTCAGAAACCCTGTGCAGGGTCACTATGAGTCAGAACCGACTCCACGGCACATAACAACAACGATTTTAAAAAGGCTCATAGATGATAGGGCCATTCGTGTGATAAAGGGACCTGAGTGAGAGCCCCATTCTCAGGGGGCTGACTTCCTGTCCCCCAAATCTGCCCATCTTTAGCCCAAATTCTGGGTATTTGTCACAGACATCTTCCTTGTCTGCAGGTGACTCTGGGCGATGGGCCCAGTGGAGACCTCTTCACCTGCCACATCTGCCAGAAGGCCTTCACCTACCAGCGCATGCTGAATCGCCACATGAAGTGTCACAATGACGTCAAAAGGCACCTCTGCACGTACTGCGGAAAAGGCTTCAATGACACCTTTGACCTTAAGAGACATGTCCGCACCCACACTGGTAAGTGGGCTCCCAAGGTTAAGGTCAAGCTCCCCAGCTCTCCTGGGAAGGAGAGCCTCTTGGCCCTCTAGGCAAGTTTCCCCTCAGTTCCAAATTTGGAAGTCGGTGAACTTTTGTGGGACGGGCTGTCCTGGCATCTCTCTCCTAGAATCAGGGGTCCTGTCCTCCAAGTCCAGGAAGCTCTAAGGGTGAAGGTTTGAGGGGCAGTGCTGATGCCCGGCCCTCTGCTCCCCGCAGGCGTGCGCCCCTATAAATGCAGCTTGTGTGATAAGGCCTTCACGCAGCGCTGTTCTCTGGAGTCTCACCTCAAGAAGATCCATGGTGTGCAGCAGAAGTATGCCTACAAGGAGCGCCGGGCCAAGCTGTACGTGTGTGAGGAGTGTGGCTGCACGTCCGAGAGCCAGGAGGGCCACGTCCTCCACCTGAAAGAGCACCACCCTGACAGCCCGCTTCTGCGCAAGACCTCCAAGAAGGTGGCCGTGGCCCTGCAGAACACCGTCACCTCCCTACTGCAGAGTGACCACCACCTGTGAGTGGCCCCAGAGGCCCGCCCACCCTCCTCTGGCCGGGACCTTGGTGATCAGGACTCACACTGGTCTTCTGAGCCTGGGGAGAGGTGGGGCCGAAGGAGGCCGGGGCTGCCTTCCATCCGATGCCGAGAGCCTACGGAGATGGCCTTCTCAGGAAGATGGAAGGGTGGCCCTGCTGCCCTCAACCCAGAGCCGGGTTACAGGTTCCCCATGGGCACCCTCTACAAGTGACTGCAGTGGAGAAGCAGACAACAGTTCCCGATCAGTGCTTCTCTTACTCAGGGCTGTGGGGAGGCTCTGTCCTCCCCACAGGGAGACGCACACATACACTCGTACAAACAGCTGCAGGCGTGCGCACCATGCACGTCCTTGTCTACAGGAGGCCTGTCCACATAGCACCTCACTTTTAAGAAACCAGCCACAAGGTGCCAAGGAGGTTCTCTTTCCTTTTTTTGTTTTTGTTTTTAAAGATGACAAATGTACAGATATTAATATATTTTTGGTGCCAATGGCGACTGTTTTTAAGAGCGGGATGGAGCTGGCTCTTCTCCGTTCCCAGGTTCTTCTATTTATCCTGGACATTTCAGACTCTGTGCCTTGGCTCTGGGAGTGGCTGCCTGGCCCACCCCCCAGTCTTTGTATCTCCAGATCCACGTAACCCTCTATCTCTGTCTTCCTCCAGCTCCTCCCTGGAGGACAGCGTCTCCTCCCTCTGCGTCCCCTGTCCTGCTTGCTCTTCCTTCCTTCACCCTTTTCCTGGCAGCCCCAGGCCTCCTGAGGACAGACCATCTATGAAGTGATTCGCCACTCCCAAAGATGGGGGATTTGTCTAGCTGGGGCTTTCGGGGTAGCCAGGTGGGAAGATGAGTCTGATTCCCTGAGTCTAAGCTAGAAGGCCTGCTTTGCTCCTGGTGGAGTCAGAAACCTGACAACTACAAAGATTGGGACCAAAATGAAAACCAAGCACCTTGGGAGCCATGTGAAGGAAGGAGTGTTCGGTGGGTAATGGATTTTATGTCTGCCTGTTTTCTTGGGTTTGAGTGCCTTAACCTGTCTGTGGGCTGATTGGCTCTTTCTGAAAGATCTTCACAATTGGCATCTTATCCAAGTAAAATACTGGTCCAGCCGGAGGGCACCTGTGCAGGACCTGTCCCGTGTCCTGAGGGCCCAAGAGATGGGTGACATCCTGCAGAGACCTAGGGAGGCACACTCACGCCATAGAAGACCACAGTGCAGAAGACAGGAGTGGCCTTGAAGCCAAACCCCACATAGGCCCTGCCCTGAAGGAGCAGCATCAGCCCGAGTGACCAGGAGGAAGTAACCTTCTCCCGACTTCCTGTGTCTCCCTGTTTGTCTGTACGGTTCCTGAGCTTCTGTTTTATTCTCCTTTCAAGTATTTTTTTTGTGAGTGTCTAGGCCCTGCTGTATTCTGAAAGCAATGTCATGGTAAAGTGATAAAGAGCATTCTCTGAAAGATCGGTTTTTGTTTACATTTCTGTGTTCCTGGGTTTGTTGCCAATCTGAGGGGGCCATAGGCTCTGTGTTGTCTGTTTTATTTTATTAAACTTATTTCTGCTTTTTGTATAGGTCTCTGTTTCGCCCCATGCAGGGAGATGAATAGAAACAAGTGATAAATTGTTAAAGCTCTACACCTTCGGTTACCAATGGACCTTAAGTCAAGACAAGGGTAGTGGTGCAGGGTTTCCCTGAGGTCCTTGGGGTCCCCCTGGTCCAGTTGCCTAAAGCCCCCCACCAGATCACCCATGGCCCCCGGGTGCCCTGTCGCCCTAGAGCTGTCTGTTGGGGTGCCAATCGCAGTCGCTCTTGCCCATACTCTGCTGGGTTGTGTCACAGGGGGTGGCACTGTGTTCCAAATAGGCACAAAGGTCACAGTCCCCATGACTCTGGTTCGGGCCTGTTCACTACTCCTCCCGGCCCTCTGAAGTAGGGGCTGTGTTTCCATCCCATGGGGTCCCACAAGGCTCTTCCAACAGAAGGCAATTCTAGACTACCCAGGCCTCCCCATCGCTTCCTCAGAATGGCCCCACAGGAGAGCTGCACTGGACCATGAGTCCCAGGGAAGTGTTCTTCCATTGGTGGCACTGGCTTGATGGAGCTGTGAGGAACAGGGATACATTGACCTGGCCTCCTCTAAGGGGCCCCTAGGAGAAGCTCAGAGGAGTGAAAGGGCCTCAAGTCAACCCCTGACATAGTGACCTCAAGTGTTATACAGAACTGCTCCATAGTGTGCCAGGCCTATCTCCCAAGGTGCCACTGGGAAGTGTGGCAGCCACAAGGTCAGTGGTTGAAACCCACCAGCCACTCCTTGGAAATCCTATACAGGGTCTCTGAGTCTGAAACAACTCCACTGCACTTAACACACCCAGTCTCCTGAATTAGGCCTGGCAGCTTTTTATCTCCAGAAACCTCTCAATTTGAGGAGCTAACATAATCCCATTTTTTCCTGGCCTGAGATTAGCTGAGCCCCATTGTTGGCAGTTCCCACGGTTAACTGCTCAGTAAACTTTTGGAGACAGCTCCCTAGACACCAAGGGGTGTGGGGGTGGGAGTCCTGGGCTCCATGGCTCCCGCTCCTCAGAACCGTAGGGTGCCAAGGTACCCTCCGAAGGGCCCCTCCCTGGCAGGGTTGGCCAGGCAGTCCTATTGTGAGGGCCCAAACCGACTCCAGACTGGGTCCTGTTGGAGAAACGAGAAAAGTTGTGAGCATTCTCAGACTGGGAAATAAAACCCAAGGCAGCAGACAGAAGAGATAAGCAATCAATACCTAACCCAGGGCAAAGGGCGTGGCCACGCATCCAGGAGATTTTTGCATCTGAAAGAGTTGGGGAAGGCTTCGTGGAAGAGGTGGGCTGGATAAACCAGGGGATCAGAATGTTCAGGTCTGAGGAGAGCGAGATGGAAGATACGGAAAAGGAGTGTGGCCGGTGGATGGAGCGGAGGGGCTCAACTGGCTCAGCTCTGCTTCCTTCATTCCTCTGGCCACAGGCATTTGAGTCGTGCTGAGTGCCAATAAGAACTGATAACAAGATTGTAAAACCCGGAAGTTGGGAGGGACTTAGCAATGTGACCTCATCGAGGACTCCTGAGGACCTCGTGTGGTGTGTCAGGGCGTGAAACTGTTTTCAATGGCTGGTTTTTTTTGGAAGTACATCAACAGGTCTTTCTTCCAAGGTGCCTCTTGAACTGCTGATCTTTCAGTTCATAGTTAAGCACTTAACCCTTTGTGCCACCTGGGGGATCCTAGGATAAAGATGGTGTTTATTGTTGGTTTTGACTCATAGTGACCCTTTATAGGGTTTCCAAGGTTGTAAATCTTTGCGGGAGTGTAGTAGCTGAGAGGCTTGAACCTCTGACCTTGTGGTTAGCAGTCCAGTGATTATCTTACAGAGCCACAGTGCTCCCAGGATAAAGATTGTTGTTATTAAGTGCCATTGAGTCGGTTCCAACCATAGCGACCCTGATAGGGTTTCTGAGGAGTGGCTGGTGGGTTTGAACCGCTGACCTCACAGTTCAAATTGACCTTAAAGTCCAGCGCATTAGCCAACAGCTCCACACCAGGATTCCTAGGATAAGGTAGAGTCCTGTTTTTAGGTAAAAATAATAATAAAAAAAAGAGACAACCAAGTGTAGGATGGGAAAATCTTTAATAGATCTGTTTTGGAAAAAGTGCAACCAGAGTGCTCCTTAGAGGACAAGATGGCCAAACTTCGTCTCTCATACTTTGGACATATTGTCAGGAGGGAACAGTCACTGGAGACGGATATCGTGTTTGGTAAGGTGGAGGGTCAGAGAAAAAGAGGAAGACCCCCAACGAGATGGATTGGCCAAGTGGCAGCATCGCCGGACTCAAGTGTGGCAACAGTAGTGAGGTTGGCCCAGGATCGGGCAGTGTTTCATTCTGCTGTGCATAAGGTAGCTATGGGTCAGTGCCAACTCGATGGCACCTAACAACAACATTAAGGTTCATATTTGATATTTCTATGTATTTTTTTTTTCTCTTACAACAAGCACAGATTATGTTTTTACAAGCAGAAGGAAATAAGATTGATCAAACAATTTAGGGATTTTAGTTGATTTGAGGTTCAATACAACAACAGGGATGCAGTTGACAAAAGCAGTAACAACCTTAAGTGATCTTAGACAGTAACAGAAACCTGGGGACAGCTGCCCAAGGCGCCTTCCTCCTGTCTGCTCTCATCAGGGAAAGAGCAGGGGCCTGGAATCAGGAGACTGCTCCTAGCCCTGTCTCTTACTCTCTGTGTGACCTAGGGCAGGTCACTTAAACTGTCTCCTCATCGCTAAACTGACTGGACTTCCTGACTTCTAAAGCCCCTTTCTTAGAAGCCCTGGTAGAATAGTGGGTTATGTGTAGTCAGCACTGCAAATCCACCAGTTTGCTCCACGAGAGAAAGAAGAGGCTTTCTGCCTCGGAAGCCCCCTACAGGCTCAAGCTATGAGTCAAAACCAACTCGAGGGCACATCACCACCACCACCACCACCACCAGCAAAGCCACTTTCTGTTACAAAGACTATGACTCCAGGCCCCCACTAGGTAAAGCACCTGAAGAAATTCAGGAGCAAGCTGCAGCTGCAGAGCTGAGGAAGGGCTAGAGGGTGCGCTAAGGGCACTGAAGAGGGTGCTTGGGGGGCGGGGGCGGGGAGGCAGGGCCTGGCTGACTGCTGACTGGGGGGGTGCTCTGTGAGGAGGGGGGACGAAGCCTGGCTGTTTGTTGAAGGAAGAACAAGGAGCAAAGTTACTTCAGGTGGCTAGGAGGGCCTTACCTCAGAGAGGTAAGAATTAGGGGAACAGACCCATCTCTGCGAGCAGAGGGCTCTTCCAGGCCATGGTGTGGGCTGCTCAGGAAAGAGGGAGTCCCACTGTATGGAAGCCACCAGCAGAGGCTGGGAGTCATTTGTGGGGGACTTGTGAAGGGACTCAATCCTGGGACACAGGATGTACAAACCAATCTTCAAGGACAAAA